AAACACATGATTTCTAGATATCATCTGATAGAGCTTTTTACGCTCTATCCATATATATGAAGCATACCTCAGATTTTATCTATCTTCGGAAAATATAGGGCAAAACATGATTTTTTGGTTTTTTGTTGCACCAAAAATGGCTACTTTTCAGGTTTTTTCGATTTTTTTCTGAAATTGAAAAGAAATCTCGGCATTTAACATACCGTTCGAAAGAGCATGAAAAGCTCTTTCGAATGGTATGTCACTTGCTTCACGACTTTACGGTATAACAGCGCAAGATTGAGGATTGTTCAAAAAATTCTGTTCGAGTTCTTCACGGCGCCACGTGTAGGGTAGTGGAAGAGGAGCGTTAACGCGTTGTCAGAATAATAAGCGAAGGTCGCCCATGTAAGCGACGTTTAAGTTGCCGCTTACTTGCTGTTGCCCGAAACAAAAAATTCCAAAATGTAATGAAAATCAGGCTGTCCCATTTTTTACCGTTCACCCTAATAAGTTTGTGAATTCTACCTATGAAGTCTTCTTTCAAAGAGCAAGTACGAGCAATTCTGAGTGTTTCTGTGTATATGGTAGCCTTTTTAACATTAATAGAAATGCAAGAAGTCATATGTGGAAATCTAATTACACTATTCTGAAAGCTATCGGTTTTATTATATAGCTTAGTGTAAATTCTGTTATTTAGTATTCTTAATTCTAAATCTAAATAACAGCAACTAAATTGGTTTGGATTTGTAGTTTCAAATTTCAAAGAATTTTCATAGACTTGGATCAAGATATTGTTTATGTCAGACTGTTGCATATTATGAATGATAAGTATATCATCCATATATCTAAAAGGACAGAAATGTCTACCTATCAAATTATCTTTAGAGAACTTATATTCGAAGTAGGAGAGTGTCAAATCTGCTAGAAGAGGACTGGCATTTCCACCTTGTGGTACACCGTTGGTTTGGACATAAAGGTTATCTGAGAATCTGCAATAACTGTTGACTAGCAAGGAGTTAACTAGATGTAGTAGGTCATTAATTTCATAGTATCTGTAGCAATGATACTTCCTGTCATTGCTATAAAATATTTTATTATAACCATTACTAGCTATGTATTTCTTGTTAGAATTTTTGAAGCATAATTTAAATATTTCCCTTATGTTATTGATGATAAGTCTGTGTTTTAGATTAGTGAACATGTCGTTAAAATCAGCTGAGTAAAGTTTCATATTGTTAAATTGCAAGTGATTTAATGTGTGGCTAATATTTATATCATCAATTGACCAATACCCTATGTGGCTTTTATTTCTAGTCCTAATGGCATTAACATAATTTCTAAAGTGTTGTTTAACAAATACAAGAATTTTACTAAGTTCTATGGATATTGGCTTCATACTACTGCTATGAGCTCCAGTTATAAATCTAAATTTGATAGGATTTTTATGAAATTTAGGTATACAATATATTACTGGTAAAGCAGCTTTGTCTAACTGTTTCACGTTGAAGCTCCTGCATAGCTGTGAGTGTTTATCGATAATATCTTGCTGAGTTTTTCCAGTAAGAATTTTATATGTTTGTTGTATGCTCCCAAATGTTACAAGGTTGCGATTATTTAAATTCGTTCCCATTTCCCTCATCAAAATTTGGAGGTAATATTTTTTACAAGTAAAACTATAGTTATTACTAGCTTTATCTATTGGACTTATTATAAAGTTATTTTTTAATTCAGCTATCAATTTTTTGAATAATGAATTCTTATGATCATAGAGAGAATGTAAATAAGGTTTTAAAGCTTTACGAATTTTTCTTTTTAAGGTTTCATACAAGTTTGTGACTAAATGCGTATTGATCTTATACGTATTTTTGATTTTTTGTACGTAATTTGTGACTGTCTGTTCTATCCAGATATCAAAATCATTTTTGCTAAGATTTTCATGTTGTCTATATTTAGTACCTTTTTTAAGTATATCAATGAGTGTTTGGTTTTTGACTATTGTAAGATCTCCAGTGACTATGTGTTTGTGAAAAGAGTCAACGTAAATATGGTATTCTTGTTTACTACAAATACATTCTGAATTAATTATCATAGTCATTTTTTCTTTGTTTAGATCTCTGAGAACTTTGTTATAATTGAATAATAGTTGAGAGAATGGTTTGCAATAGTTATAAATAATAGTGAACGGTTTTATTTTTATATTAGTATTATTGCTCAACATTCTTTTTATTTCTTTACACTTGATAATTCTTTTGAGATTGATTTTATCTAAAATCTCATGTATGTAATTGGTTTTCAAAATAATCGAATCTTTGTTAAATTGTTTAGTTTCTTTACATGTTCCAAATTGAAATTTACATAAAATGGAAATCAGCAGCTGCCTGTTCTCTTCGACTATATCTGTTAAAAAGTTAGTGTTGTAGCATAATTTAATGATTTTATTTATTAACGACTTCTTCATATCACTAATATATCTATACAATTCTATACTACTTTCTACGTTATTAATTTTGTTTTTGATTTCTGTTATACTAGTGTCTCTATTTTTCTTATTTCTTTTTTTTTTGTGCGTACTCCTGATTCTTTTCTTTAGTATTTTGAGATTGAAATATGGGTGATTGGGTTTGTAAGCTAAGGGGTTGTTGATATTGGATATGTTACCATACCCTTTGATATTATCATTGAATCCAAATGGGTAGGCTGTCATCAATAGTTTTGTCCAAAATAATTCTTTATCTGTTAGTATATTTTTATCATTATTTTCTTGACAGTTGTCCAAGATGGTGAATTTGATCAATCTTTTTTTACATGAATCGCTGAAATGTTTGTAAAGATAATTATCTATGACGTTCTTTTTTGAATGGTAGAGGTGCTCATTTATTCTGTTTTTGAAATTTCTAGTTGTTATTCCGACATATTGCTTATTGCATTCTTCACATGTAAGACAATATATTACGTTTTTAGATTCACAATTGGCATGTTTACTAGCATAAGTGTTTATCTTAAGTCCCGTCACTGAAGACCTTACGTATGTCTTATTATCTATAACATTACAGTATTCACAATTTTCTTTACATTTTGTTGATCCCTCCGATATATTAGGTTGTCTCAAAATTAATGCACGTTTTTATTTGCTTGCTTTAACAAAGCAACCAGACTCAACCCAACAAAGGGTAAGGGGTACTGTTCGATAGAGCAAAGCAAGCTCTACAAGATGGCACTCATGCCTTTGCGCCATGCTCGATCCACGGAGAGTTCGAACTCAAAATCTAAAGATTTCCAAATGCCCAAAAAATCGAAAAAAAAATCAGATCTTCGTCTAAATAATTTCTACGGACCTCCCACTCGCTCACATCAATACTATCGATATCTGATATCCATGTGTGCGATTGCCGTATTTTTTTCTTGACTAGAAACTGAGAAAACGAAAATTTTCGTGTTTTTCTAAAAGCAATGCTGAGCCGTTTTTGCATATGTGGTTCTATACTACAAGCCTAGGTAAGCATAACTGTAGGTTTTCAGCCTATTTCGAGCGGTACTTTTTGAGAAATGTCGATTTTAGCACTGAAACTGAAACGAAAAAATCCGAATCCGTTATTTTTCGAAAACTACCGCTTGGAAAGGGCTGAAAACCTACAGTTATACTTATCTAGGCTTGTAGTATAGAACTACATATGCAAAAACGGCTCAGCATTGCTTTTAGAAAAACACGAAAATTTTCGTTTTCTCAGTTTCTAGTCAAGGAAAAAATACAGCAATCGCACACATGGATATCAGATATCGATAGTATTGATGTGAGCAAGTGGGAAGTCCGTAGAAATTATTTGGACGATGATCTGATTTTTTTCGATTTTTTGGGCATTTGGAAATCTTTAGATTTTGAGTTCGAACTCTCCGTGGATCGAGCATGGCGCAAAGGCATGAGTGCCATCTTGTAGAGCTTGCTTTGCTCTATCGAACAGTACCCCTTACCCTTTGTTGGGTTGAGTCTGGTTGCTTTGTTAAAGCAAGCAAATAAAAACGTGCATTAATTATGAGACAACCTAATATTAGGTTGTCCGGAAATTAATGCAGGTTTTGAATTCCAACCGCAATAAGTCACACACTTCTCATTTTTAAATAGGTTGCAAAGTACCATTCGATAGAGCAAAGCAAGCTCTACAAGATGGCCATGTTGCTCTAGCAACAGATCTGATCCACCACGAGTTTCGAGCCAAAAACTGAAAAGATTCAACTACCCGAAAAATTGAGAAAAATCGTAACTCTGTTCATAAAAATATTGCAAAAATTCTAACTTGCTCACGTAAACATAATCCACATAAGGCATCTATATACGCGGTTGCCGTATTTTTTTCTGTGTTAGAAATCAAGAAAACGGAAATTTTCGTGCATTTGCCAAAGTGGTGCTGTGCCGTTCCCACATAAGTAGTTGTATACTACAAACCTTTAGAAGTACAAACGTAAATTTCCAGCCCTCTACAAGCTTTAGTTCTCGAGAAATTTCGAGTACAGTTTTCCTTAGTCATGTGGTCCAAGCTAAAATTCAAATTTCTCGAGAACCAAAACTTGTAGAGAGCTGGAAATTTACGTTTGTACTTCTAAGGGTTTGTAGTATACAACTATTTATGTGGGGACGGCACAGCACCACTTTAGCAAATGCACGAAAATTTTTGTTTTCTTGATTACTAACGCAGAAAAAAATACGGCAACCGCGTATATAGATGCCTTATGTGGATTATGTTTACGTGAGCAAGTTAGAATTTTTGCAGGATTTTTATGAACAGAGATACGATTTTTCTCAATTTTTCGGGTAGTTGAATCTTTTTAGTTGTTGGCTCGAAACTTGTGGTGGATCAGATCTGTTGCTAGAGCAACATGGCCATCTTGTAGAGCTTGCTTTGCTCTATCGAATGGTACTTTGCAACCTATTTAAAGGCAGTGTCTCACCAGAATTTCGTTGTCGAGATTTTCGTAAATTACAAACCTATAGGACCCTATGTAACACCTTAGGGCTTTGAAATCGCACGATTTTCCCAAAAACCCCGTTTTCTGGAGGCCCCGAGCAAGCACCGTGGACGAGCTGTACCCCCTGCGCTCCTCCACGGCAGGGCAGAGACGCAGAGTGGAGAGGTAGTCGTTTGAAACGTCGTCATGAAGACACTTTCGCAATTCGGTTCCACACAAGTTCTATTTCAATCTCCCACATTGTTCAATAAATGAGTCTTTTTGTGTGATGACAATACCCCATTTTTTCTTCATATGGTTATAACCAAGCTCTTCGTTTACTATGTTGTCACCTGAATATATTTCCAGTATATGAATGCCACTTGCTGTCTACTTTGCGTGACGAGTTTTCTGTTTTTTTCGGCTTGCATCATTACGCAGGCAAAAATGACAGCTATTTATCTTTCTGGCTAGTCTTCTTAGTGAGTGAGAGGTAATTTCACCTAAAAGTGAATCACGCCATATTTCCGCATAGTAAGGTAGAGATGTCATCTTTATTGCCTTACCTTATGAATGCTGACCGTTACTTTCTCGCGTCCTTTTCAAATAATTGACAGTTTTTTGGTAGTCAAATATAGGTGTTTTTTCTGAATTTCTGTATGTGATCATATTGTCGCTATACTTGGCTATTGAAGGTGTGGATCACTGTCTTACCGAAGCTAGATCGGCAAGAACATTATGATCAAGGTCCTTACGCCGTCATTTTTGCTCGAACTAGAGGGTTGACCAGCAGGTTAGTATGCTCGACCATGAAATGGAGCCACTCCCATTATCCTTGGCCACTTTTAGATTGAAGAAGAAACGAACAAGTTTGGAGAATTGTCGAAGATTCGAACTGTTTCTGTTATCGGAGGTGCTTCACGTGAAGACCGGGGAATGAAACTGCGCATGGGCGTCGAGGTACAGTTATAGTTTTGAGCGTTATCACGTACTTCGAGTATTGGCTTTTCATGTGGTGATTGCTACAACTGGACGTCTTCTCGACGTTCTGGAAAATAGATATCTTTTGCTAAACCAATGCTCATACGTAATTTTTGATGAGGCGGACCGAATGCTTGATATAGGTTTTGAACCCGAAATGCAAAAGGTCTGTAGAGTTGCTGTCATTAGATTTCTCTATTCTTTATTCAATGCAAAGTACTGGTAATTTTCAGGTCTTGGGATATTTGCCTGTATCTAATCAAAAGCCTGACACCGATGACATAGAGCATGAAGAAGCTCTGATGAATAACTTTGCGACAAGGGAGAAATATCGCCAGGTTATCCTATCTTCCTCGTTATCTTGTTTCTGAAATTTGCAATGTCAGTGATAATAGACATTCCTTGTGGAAGCTCCACTTTGAGCAAAAACATGTATCAGTTTTGTTTTTCAGCCACTAAAAGTTTAGTGAGGCAACGGTGTGTGGTCTTGAATTAGATAGCCCTACCCAGCAATTAGGAAGAATTCTTTGACCATGAAAAAAATTTCTTCTCACTTCAAGCGCTGCTGCCAGCACCCCTTCTATAGAAAAAATTTGAAACCAGGAAATAATTTTAGACTGTCATGTTCACTGCCACGATGTCACCTGCTATCGAGCGATTGGCTCGTGCTTATTTACGGCGTCCTGCAGTGGTTCACATCGGATCCGCTGGACGACCAACTGAAAGAGCGGAACAGGCAAGATTTGTTTATTTTTATCGTCAATTTTTGGTATGTGAGTTTTGCAGATATCTGCGATAGATTAGCTGGGTACTGTATCTCTGTTTTAGATCGTTTACATGATAACAGAGGACAAAAAGGAGAAGAAGCTGGTTGAAGTGTTGGAACAACACTTCGATCCTCCAATCAATATTTTTGTCAATCAAAAGAAGGTAGAATAATAATCTTCCTTGATAGATCTCTCTCGTGGACATAGCACACGGGTAGAAGTTCACCTGAAAAAAAATTTTTTTTTGTAAGTAACGAAGTTAGAAAGGACAGACCCTCTCACTCCGTTACCAAAGTCGCTTTTTTGGGAGTCACAGTCAATCACTGCGTAAGGTACTACTTTGACATTCCTTGCGTGCAGCGCGCGCTTGTTGATGGCCAGCAGTGCGGTCAGAGGTGAGGTAACGTAGCGGCCCGCGCGCCATGAATCCTTGGCGTACGGCTCACGCCCACTATATCTCACTGTCCGGCCCCGCGCACATGCAATTCTCACACGCTATAAGCGTAATGGGGACCTGCATGAGGTACGACGCTGTGATTAGGCTGCTCCGTCAGTGGATTTGCCTTGTCACTTCTTGGTATTTGTAATTGCAGGAACATTGATGTCTTTTTCTACACAGCTTACCCCTCGATAGCGTCCCGGATCGGCACTGATTTTGATTTGAATTCATATTCAAATTTTCGAATTTTCTAAATTTTGGTTTTAACTTTTTGGAGTATGAAGTTGAGGATGCGCACAACATGAGAGAAGAGAAATGAAATTTTCGTGAAGGACTTATTCTTCGGTAGTTTGCGGTCGGAGCGCTGTTCATACCGTGCAGGCCATTCGCGCAGTGGCGTGCGCATTCATCGCTCGGTTCGCGCGCATTACAAAGCGCTACACGAGGAGCGCGCGCGCCGCACGCTTCAATGTCAGAGTAGGCGATAATGGGTTTAGTCTGTGTATTTGGTAACGGAGAAGACAGGAGTTTGTTACGTCGTGTCCATCATCTCGCCGTATGATGTTTGTCGCGATAGTTTCGTCGAAACGTATGACAAGTGGACTTCTTTCCTCCATAGGTGTTGTATGGGCGTCTTTTTCTTTAATTCACTTGTTCTTTCTTTGAACTTCCGCTTGATCCGTGTCCTGAATTCCACTACCCTTTCCCCGTTCAACTCAGCCTCTCGGAGAGCATTCAAATGTAAAGTAGCCATCTTTACATAAAGGGGGTAAGTTGTTCGTGGTCTAAAAATTCCTAAGTGTAGTTGGTTGTGGCCATTTTCTAAACACTCATATGGCAAAACTTACAAGAAAAGCTCTTTTGGACAGTAAAGTCTGTCAACAGAATTCTTTGTCTCACACTGGCTTGTGCCATCATAGGGGCTCGCGATCATGATATCATTTTGAAAAGTTGATTGGAGCACTATCTCTTTTAGTTTTTCGTGAGCTACACTTCCAGTGGAGATTGTTCGTTTCCCTCTCTCTTCATTCGGAGCTATCGGCTTGTGCAAGCACTTTTTTACTGGTCCCGTATTGCTATCCTGCAGATTATACCACCTAAAGTTTGTGTAAATATAAATATATAATAAATAAATAAATATATATATAATATATATATTGTGTAAATATATATGTAAATATTGTTATTGTAACTCCAACGGCTGCTGCCGCTCGCTATCCAGTTGGATACTGCTCCCGGCCAAAGCGGCATCGTGTAGATGATGTCTGAGAGTTTTTATTGTACTTCACCGAACTCTTCCTCATTTTATCTTATTCCAATTCTAACATTTCGTTCCTTTGTATTTGGCTACAATTCTAATCAATACTTCTCTTGCTTTATCTCTCTATCTCTTACAATTGTTGTGCTTTGAATATAAGTGAAATCTCAAAGTATTTTGTCATTTGCTGAAGTTGTGAAATAATCATATCAGGTGAAGTATAACAACACATCGGTTGGACAAAGTAAATATTTACTTTACCATAATCAGATCAAAGTACGCTGACATAGGCAAACACGGTATGTTCGACATTGATTCTACAATGACACAATTAATAACAATGACATAAGATTTACAGAACCCTGTTTCTGGCAGGGGTTGTGAGCAAAGTAGGCAATCAAAGAATCCTTTGTTGATTGTGCCTTCTCATGGTAAAGTAATTTAGTCTAGCAGCGCTTTCAGGAATTTATCCGACTTGCAGTTTAACCGTTGGATATAGTGAATTGCTCATATGAAACTCTAAAGATCCACATCAGAATCTCACGTGAAATAGGTCCCGGGCAAGCTTCGCGTGATTTCAGTAGAGACGCGATTTGGAAACGCGACATTTGCTCAAAAAATGGGGGCATAGTATCAGTACTCGAAAGTTAACGCTGCGCAATTAGTCAGTTTGGGTTGAATCGCGTGTAGTATGCCTGGAGCCTGAAGGATGATACTACTCACCTTTTCTTTCTTCCAAAATGAAAATAGTCGAAAGCATCCCATCATTGCTTTTTGGCGGTATTACCAGAAAGGCATAATTACAGACATGAACTTATGTCATTTGTTTTGGACAACATACCGTTGTCGCGAGCCTCTCGGGCTGAATAATCCTTTCAGGGCGGGCCTTTGCGCAGTTGTGTATATACTTCTAGGTGTACCACGTTCATCTGGAAAGTATATATATGACCTTTTTAAAAAATGCTTTTGTCACAATAACGAAAAAATCACCTATGATTTTGACTGGTCCACGAACTCGTACGCTGGCTGCTCCTGTGCGATAGTTCTCCTTATCATAGCTTGAGTCACAACCAAAGCTACCCTGCATGCATGCTACGTGCAAAAGGTTTTTGTGCCGCTCTGTGTGGAGTGGAGCTTGTAGGTGTTGGAGAGTTGTAAGACAATTTGTGCCGAGGAGATCTTCCAGTGCAAACAGATGGAGTGTTGAATATTACATTCATATATGAGGTTTTCTGAACAACAAATGATGACATAAAGAAGCAGAATCGGTAACTGCGTAATTGGACCAACTTCAGCTGCTCTGTTGGTTGTTCTTTGTTGACCTCTCCCACCACCACGTTCTCGCTCATTATGTCGCCACATCGCATCAAAACGCTCACTGATGATGCTTCCAGATCGGAAACTTTGCGGGGATAGATAGACATCAGGACTATCGTCAAGATCCGAGAGATCAAGATTATGTTCAAGAGAAGCGTGGATTGTTGGAGATGCAGTTACACGTGATTCACCCTAAAGAAAGGTCTAAATTATATATATCTTTCGAAAGGAAACCAGAAAAGTAACGTAGTACACATATGACTGTTGCACATGAATCAAATAGATAATTTATAAGGAAAAATGAATCCAAAGTCTCATTGCTTTGCTACACATCTAGAACTAACTGTTTTCGGTCTGAGAGGGGGCAGTGCTATTTTCTTCTTACGTCCCTTCTGCTGTAGTAGCAGATAGTAAGTCGCGGTGAGGTAGTCAAACTTCCATTCCTAAATCATATTTTACTCCCCTCAAACCGAACCGAAAGACTTCAGAACACTGCATGCCGTCTGCGTGACAAGATGGAACTTGTGCTTCAAACTATTTAGATGCTTTGTTACTTGTCTAGTTAGTTGAAAAGATCAAAATGAGCTTGCTAGATATACGTGCGGTCTAAAGACTCCGAAAGGACTCATCAGACTCGCAGAGAGCGCTGAAAAGCCCCCATAAACAAGCAGCGCTGAAACGCCTCTTTCAAGTGCAACGCGTTAGAGCTAATCACATATCTATTTCAACACCGAAACTAACTATCAAAAAGGTGCTGTCGGAAAACGCTCCACGCGAACGGGGAGCGTTTTCTGGGGCCTTTAGACGAAGTGTGACGTTCAGCTGCAGTGGTACTTTGTAGAGTACGAATAAAGCAAACGGTTAAAAAGAAACATTGATACCATAAACAACCTTGATCAGATCGGTCATCTCTGCGAGAGATTTTCTGTGATGAAAGGCTAATTCAGTGGCAACTTCTTCGTCAACTAGGTTCCTCTGAAAAAAAAAGACACATTTAGCATATCATGGTATATCATTTGTTTACATCATAAATGCTAGTCCACTTTAGCTTTTGACTGTACTTGTGGTTGATCCATGGATGGTCAAGTAGCTGTTTGACGGTGATACGATAACGAGGGCTGACCTAAAGCCATAGAAGCACAGTAGTGGCCATATTCACCAAAGAACCCAGTGGGTTGGGTTAACCCACGACATCGGTATTCATGTAGTGGGTTCGCGAAATCAGCAGTGCTCTTTGTGAATATCGTCCAACCCAGTGGCACTGTTTCCGCTTACTGAGTAGCGGAACCCAGTGGTTCGTTGATGAATACCGCCGCAGGAAGTCAATAGAGAGTTTTGGTTACCTGCAACATACTTCGAAGTAACGTGCGACTGCTAGGACTGAGCCACTTTGGCTCCTGGTATTGTCCTCTCTAAGAAAGTGAAGATAAAGAGTTCGCAAATACATGGGGACTAATGACGTGGGTGAAGATAGTCAAGTGACAACGCGAAGATGTTGGTCATACCGCAAATCTAATTGTTGCATTTTCCAGCTCATCAGTGGACTAGTAATTCTAGATTACTTATTCATTTCCAACTTACGGAAATCTTCCGGTGTAGAACTTGCATTGACTCGTCTTCGAAAGGTAGAGTTCCACATAGAAGAGCATAAAGTAGGACGCCCATAGACCAATTACCAGCTTCATTGCCGAGATACTCCTTTCCCTACAAAACACATACTTCAGCCACAAACTACAGAAAGTAATCTCGTAAAGGTAGCATGCTATAAGTCTTGAGAGATTGCAGAGTGGAGCAATACATGTAGAGGAATTCCACCTTCTCAAATTACTCTGGATACAGAATATTCATAGAAATATTAGGAAAAGAATGTTGTGTGAATGATACTCACATGAATCTTTATTTTTGGACAAAGTGCAAGATATGGTGCGCGACAGAGTTTCTCAAATGATTGGTCGGAGCGAAAAAAACATCGAAGAAATTTAACTTTTCTCAAGAGATAGTAACTCAGCAAATTGGAAGATAATTCTTACAGCTATCACCTTGGGAGCGGCATAGGGATGCGAGCCACAACGTGTATCCAGAGGTCGACAAAGCGAAGATGCCATAGCACATAACCCAAAGTCTATGACCTTTAGGTGGAGGTCCTCCATCAAAAGTAAGTTCAGCCTAAGGTAAACTGTACAAATAAACACTCAAAATATAGTGAGAAACATACAGGCTTCAGATCCCTATGTGCATAACCCATGGAGTGGACATAAGCCATAGCTTGAACCAGTTGACGGAAAAAGTGACGAGCTTCTGATTCCTCATGATTCAACTATAACTAGAGAAAGAGAAACAGACCTCCATTATGATATGATATTTATCTTCCGTCTCAATAAACTGATATAGCCGACAAATATTCTGATGCGACAAAGTCCTAAGTGCGTCAAGCTCTGTCGCAACTCGTGGAAGATCATCCTGTGTGTATGAAGCCAAAAATTTGAAAGAGAAAAAGACATGTGAGACTTACCCCCATAGCCTTCTTGTCGATGATTTTATGGCAACTTTGAGGCCGGACAACAAATGAGTAGTTAGTTTAACTTTGATAAAGCCTAAACGTTGGCGCATTCAAATGAAATAACGAGAAAGTTATTGGAAATGATAAAGCAATAAAACCAGGCTATGTGCTTATCACAGCTAGCGGAAGGTGAACTGTTTACAACGTACCTTTATCTGCAAACAGGATCTAAAAACTGTAAACATTGCTTCAATTTCAAAACTGAAATCTTCGACCAGCGTACTTGTGATGTTACATGGACAAGCTGAAGAGTTAGCGTTCAGTCGAACATCTGCAAAAAAGATACCAGTTTTCCCTCGACACCGAAAAAAACTACTCGTTTAATTTCAATGTTTTTGAAAGTATTGAGTACACAGAAAGCAGAAACGTAGGACTATGCAGAGAACTGAAAATAGAAAACAAGAATGTCGAAAAATCTGAAGAGTTAGCGTTCAGTCGAACATCTGCAAAAAAGATACCAGTTTTCCCTCGACACCGAAAAAAACTACTCGTTTAATTTCAATGTTTTTGAAAGTATTGAGTACACAGAAAGCAGAAACGTAGGACTATGCAGAGAACTGAAAATAAAAAACAAGAACGTCAAAAAATCCAAAAGTGCCCAAGATTCCTCCAAACAATGCGCCACACGACAGGCGGCGGGTCAACTCGTCCGACGCGAGCGAGACTGCCGCGCGCGAGCGGAATCAAGCGGGGTTTTCTCAACGGGGAGGCCACCGATTTGGATGCAAATTGGGGAATTGCTTAGCTAGGCAGCCCGCTACTTTCATGTGTAGTTCTCCCAAAAACGGAGAATTTGCTGGCACACTGCCTTTAAAAATGAGAAGTGTGTGACTTATTGCGGTTGGAATTCAAAACCTGCATTAATTATTATTAAATATTTTTTTATTATTTTTATTTATTTATATTTTTTATTTTATTTTATTTCATTTTATTTTATTTTATTTTATTTTTTATAAATTTTTATTTTAATTTTTCTTTTTAACTTTTTTTAAAAAAATTATAAAACATGTATATTTTTTATATATATGTAATAATTTTTTGATACTTTTTAAAATTTTCAAAATTTCAAGTTGTAAATTTTTATATATTAATTTATTTATTTTATTTATCTGTCTTCTTTTGATGTTTTTGTTTTTATTTTAATTTTAATTAATTAATTTATTTATTTGTTTTAAAAACTACCTATTATGTTACTAGATTTTATAAACAAGTCTATATTTATGGTATATATGAATCTAAATAAATATGACTATCATAAATCTTACAACATTATATATAACATTATATGTTTATATACTTGTTTATTTTATAGCATATATAATTTCAATACTTTTTGAAATTGTTTTTACATTACATTTTGTTTTATATTATAAACGTCCGGAGTTTTATTTAATGAATTTTTATTTTTTATGTATTTATTTTACTATTTCTTTCTTGTTATAGGTATAATATTTAATTACAGAATTATGTTTATACATATTCCTAAAATTACACTTACTGTATATTTAATCTTTTTAGAAATAAGAAATATCATACTGTGAGATACAACGAGAGAAAGGGAAAAAATACATTATACAAACGTAAATATGTTCATTACACGATACCAACTACTTATATATGTAAGCGAATATAAACACACTCAAAACAAGCATGGGAAATCTATTGATAAGAACACCAAAGAACATAAATCTGTGAAATATTCGAGCCTCGGTCAAAGTTCGCCATCGCGCATTCCTCGGGACTCAAAGAACGATACGAACGCAAGTTCGTATACTCCGACCTCAGCAGACGAGTGGAGCATCACTGTTGATGACGTATTAGTCGTGGTAGCCATTGTGCTTTTTGAATTCCGTGTCGCTGCTCGTAGCTCTGCATCTTTTAGCTGACTCTGTCCCTAAATTGCGTGGTTTTGCCTTCTTGCTCGCGTTCTGTGAGAGATTGTCTGTGGGAATCGTCCATTTCGGTAAGTTTTCGGTCCTCTTTTTCTCCCTTTGGATCTGGTACTGCTCTCTTGGGCGCCGTCGAGTTAACACCTTTCGTTTTTGTAAGCGTCATCCTGGATCCACTAAAAGCCGTGGCGAGCACTTCGAGCGTGTAGCATAGCGTTTTCCTGATGCAGCGCATAATCCTCTCGTAAAACGCACCCTGCCACGGCGCGCAAAGAGTAACGTGACTCCATCCTCCCTTTCGCCGTGCTACTCGCTTCCAAACTGTGTGCTGTGTACCATGTTTTCCGTAGTTTCTCCAAGAGTTTGCTCACGCGCAACCGTCTGTCACTTCTTATTGGTAATAGTCCGCCGTTCTACTTGTTTTGTAAATCTCTGAGTTTTATCCACTGTATTATCCTTGGGGCGCTTGAGGGCTTGTCTCTGAACACTGTTGCTGTGCGTTGCTCCATGCTTCGAAGGGCGCCTAAATTGATACGAATGGAGTTCGTATGCTCCGGCGTGTCCAGCAGAAGAGCATAAATATGGTTTCGGTTCTTCCCTTTTAAGCCACTTCTAGGTTTCTTCCTCCTTGCTTCGTGCCGGTACTTGTCTTCTTTGACCATTCACTGTAATCCGCTTGCGCTCTTTTCCCTTCTGTGCACCTTTGGATTCCGATGCGACGTCTCGCCATTCTTCGCTTTCGCTCTCCTTTTGCAGGTTCGTTGCTGTGCTTGACTTCTTTTGCGATGTCGCAAAGGACTTCCTCAGATGTCTGTGATTCTTGAAATGTCGTCTTCTCATCTCATTCTTTGGCTGCGTAGCCTTTTCCGAGGATTGCGGTTTCTTGTCAGAAGTTTCTTGTAGACTTTTCTTTTGTTGAGTGTGGATCATTTCTCGGTTACTGCCAGTGTTCGTTCTTTCCTGTGTTGTGAAGGTTACGCGCTTCATACTCTGCATCCATTCTTGCACTTTTGGTGCTGTCGCTCGACCTACTTCTTGAAGTCCAGAAACCCTTCCCATAGACGGTGCACAGTTATTACTTCCTTTGAAGAATCATCGTCATTAATCCTTGAAACGCTCGATAAGCCAGAATTGCTTCTTGACTGCGCATCAGAACGTTTAACTGTTGCTCTCGCCAAAGCGATAGTGATTGGTGCATCCGTGTTCGAGTCGAATTCTCTGCTAGACGACGAAAACTTCTTTTGTGGTGTGGGTACAGTAGTCATCACGGCTGACATTGTTGTCGCTTGTGCTTCCTTAGTAGAGAGTTCAAAACTGCTTGAGTTGGACAGTGAATCTGCTGTACTAGCTCGCTTTTTCTGCCTATTCATGAGCCTGCTATTAGGTGCTTCTGACTTCCGTGGCTTATTACCCAGGGAGATAGTTTTGTGGTGCTTTCTGCAACATTTTCTGCCTCTCCAGCATGACGTTATTATGTGATTCTTGGATCCACGGTTGAAACATATGTTGGCGTCTACCAGAAATCTTCTCTTTTGTAATGCTGTGGATATTTTTGGGCAAGTTGTCCATCTGTGCCCTCTAGTTCCACAGCATTCGCAGGAAGCTTCAACTTACTTTTGTTTCTTTTGGGTAGGCTCTCACTGTTGTTCCACTGTGCAGCGAATAGCTTCGAAATTGCCCTTCGAGTGACAGCATGTGATTTAGTTGTTCTTCCTGTGAGATAACGTTGTCAATGGCATCCAGCCATTGATTCAGAGTCCACTCGGACCCGTGCTCCTCTTGATGGCGTATTCTTTTTTCCATAGCTGCCTTTCTTATGGTGCGTGGAATTTTTGCACAAAGATTTGTACCGTCAGTTGATTGTTGGGCTGCTGCTCATGCTCCTCTAACTGTGCTGCAATTGTTGACAGTTTGTCCCACAACTGTAGTTGTTCTGTCGTAGTTGGTCCCCTTGCTACACAATTGTGTAGGCTTTTGTTTAATTCCAAGACTATGCCATCTTTATTGCCTTACCTCTCGATAAGGTGTTGGATGGCCTTCTGGTAATTATTTGCTGAAACGAAGAACCGTGAAACTGATTGTTTCGCTTCCCCACTCAGGGATGCCAGCAAATAATTGATTTTTGCAGCTGTGTTAGATTTTGGTCGTGGACATTGGCCTTGTATAGAGCCCAGAAGTTGTCCCATTCTCACTTTTTTCCTGTGAATGTGGGGATAGGGATGATCGGAAGTCTATTGACTGCGGCTTGGCTAGTGGTGCCGTCTGTGTCAGTCCCGATATCCTTCTCCTGGGCTTCTTCTAGCCGTGTCCTGTGTTCGTGCAGTTTCATTATTGTTGCCTGGGTTTTCTTTATGTACTTATCCAGGTGATCCTCCTCCTCTTCTGTGGTATCTGGAGCTTCATCAAAAGCCTTAGTTAGCTTTGTCAATGACGTTTCGAGAAGCTCGATACACCTCTCACAGGTTTTTATTCTCCTTGCGCTTTCCTTTTCTTGTATATCCGTGAGCGCTTGCGTGGAGTCCTGCAGCCAATTCATCGCTGCATCATTTCTTTTCGCGACGAGTCCTTTGAGGCATCTTACTGTGCTGGCCATGGTTAGTTGAGTTGGTTGTGTGAGATACTGTGGCTCGTTGTGCGGCAACTTTGACTCTTACTGTGAGGGGACCTGTGAGTTGACTGTGACTTGCTGTGCAATAGCTGTGCCAAACCCTGTGAGGTGCCGTGAGTAACGTGCAAATTGTTAGTCGGAAGCGTTACTCGTATGCTACAAATCGTAGCTCCGTTTGGCTGATGCACCACTTGTACGGTCGGTGAGTCAGTGTGTGTGGACTGTGATTGATTGGATGCCACGTGGGACTTACGCACAGCGAGTACACCTCAAACTTGGGTAATTAAACTTTGTTATAAAAATACTAAATAACAACTACAAAACGTTACGATAGTACATAAAGGGTATACAATATATGCTATCCGAGCAGCCTATGAGTTACTGTGAGGGGTTCTGTGAAAGAACTGTGATTTACTGTAAGAGATCCGTGAAGTAATGACTAAGGTAAGAAAGGCAGAAATATCATACTGTGAGATACAACGAGAGAAAGGGAAAAATACATTATACAAACGTAAATATGCTCACTACACGATACCAACTACTTATATATGTAAGCGAATATAAACACACTCAAAACAAGCATGGGAAATCTATTGATAAGAACACCAAAGAACATAAATCTGTGAAATATTCGAGCCTCGGTCAAAGTTCGCCATCGCGCATTCCTCGGGACTCAAAGAACGATACGAACGCAAGTTCGTATAACTTCCTACCGTGCACCTATCATTATCAATTTTCGGGGAGACATTCTGCGGAGAAAGTGTGATATCTGTGAT